GAATACTGTTTCTCTCATTTTTTTTTTAGTCACTGAAAACAAATCTTAGCTTTTACGTGAAGTTCATTCTAATGTTCTAAGCTATCTGTATTCTAAAGTATCTGTATTCTAAACTATCTGTATTCTAAAGTATCTGTATTCTAAACTATCTGTATTCTAAAGTATCTGTATTTCTCAAATTCCCAACAGTTCTGTTGCCCGCGGAAGTGGCAAGAGAATAAGATGACATTTTGGAACACTTACTGTAATGATAACGTGACTGGAAGTGTCAGATTAAGCTGCTTGTATAATAACATTTAGCAGTGACTATCGGACAATTAAATTTCTGCTTAAAATAGATGTACTAAAACCGGAAACTCATTTATATTAAGTATTAACTTTTTTGATTGTTTTTAGGAAGAAACCGAAATATAGCCATCTAGTGGTCCTACGAGTGGTATCTAAAAACATGTGACATCGATGTCAATGGAGTTCCGTTCCTCTGTCCCTTTGCAGCTCAACGTGATATATAAAAAACATGTGCTCCTATGACCTAAAAGGTTTCAAACACTTAGTAATCCAAAATGGTATTTATATACATTTGTGTTCGATAATAAGTTCCAGTTCTTCAGCAGTCCAGAAAAGTATACATGCGCGCGTGTGTGTGCTGCCGATTTAAACAAAATTCTAACCCCCTAACGCCTCATAGATATGTATAAGTACGTGTACCCCAATTTCAATGGGCTGACATTTTATTCACCGTTCAAGACACTCTGATCCTGAAAGAAAAATCTGCCAACAACACAAGTTAAACTGGTTATAATACGGGGTTTCATGGCGTGATGTAACTATGCCGAATAGAACATTTTGAAATCATTGTCAAAGTTTAAAATAAATGAGAAACATTTACTTAACTAAATGAACAATATTAGTTTGAGCAAGGAAAGTTTAACTCTACAGTTCTTACGGAAACTGAAAATAACTTAAGGTTTTCTAAGAGAGTGTGAACTAAAATTGGGAAAAGTATTAAGTGTTAAATCCACAATAACATCTAACAGAGGTTTGTTGGGTCCACTTTTATGAGGTAACGCTTAATGCGTATAAAAAGAACACAAACCACTTGAAGCTCACACGAACAAGATGAACCAATTAAAACTCCGTATGAACAAAATAAACCAGTTGAAGCTCCACATGAACAAGACGAACCAGTTGAATCTCCACATGAACAAGACAAACCAGTTGTAGCTTCACATGAGCAAGACGAACACTTGAAGCTCCACACGAACGAGACGAACCAGCTGAATCTCCACATGAACAAGACAAACCAATTGTAACTTCACATGAACAAGATGAACACTTGAAGCTCCACACGAACAAGATGAACAGTTAAAGCTCCACATGAACAAGACGAACCAGTTGAAGCTCCACATGAACAAGACGAACCAGTTGAATCTCCACATGAACAAGACGAACCAGTTACAGCTTTTACAGTAACGAAGAATATTATTAAATCAGGTACGACGTTTCGATCACTGGTGCGATCATTCTCAAGTACACAAGTTCTAACGGTAAAGAACGTTTTAGTATTCAAAGTCCTGAGTTTTTTCCTAAGGATATTTTTTCAACTGCACAATTATATTTTAACTTCATCATTTTTTAATACATGACACCTTATTGCACCTCATATATACAGGCCTAGTGATAAATGATTCCAAAAATGAAAATTATTATAGTAGATACATTTATTTATTAACTCTGGAATGGAATTTTATAATCTTAAATATGTTTTTTTTAATATTTATCCACTTGAACTTACTTATATAGGTGAGGTTTCAACTGCACAAATATGTTTACAGGTGTACAATTTGTGATCAACTGCACACTAGGAAAACCTCTGATTTAAACCAGCATTCAAACATCTTAAATACATTGTTGATTTAAATACTAATACTTTCTTTACCGTTAAAACTTGTGTACTTGAAATTGTTGCACTAGTGATCGAAACGTCGTACTTGTTCTATAAAATACTATTTTTCACTGTAAAAGCTGTAACTTGTAATAAAATCATAATCAGTAATCAGTAAGTACGCTCAAAACGAAACTATTAATATTCGTATAATGTTGAGTGAGATGTCGCCACCTTAGCAAAAAAAAAAAAAAGGCTTAAAACCACGAATGAGAATTTCTGAAGCTTTGTTCTTATAATATAGTTTATAGTTTAAGTACATAATGTGGTTCACGTGCCTATTTGTATCTTGTTTTTGTAAATAATGTTGTTCACGTGGCTGTTTGTATCTTGTTTTCGTAAATAATGTTGTTAACGTGCCTATTTCTATCTTGTTTTGTAAATAATGTTGTTCACGTGCCTATTTGTATCTTGTTTTTTCTTTTGATAATGTGGTTCTTGTGTCTATTTGTATTTTGTTTTTGTAATGTAAATAACAGAAATTTTATTTTCGTACTCTGTTTGTGCATTGGGGATCCAAAAGTGTGCAAAAAATATGATTTCAGACTTATCTTTTGTCTCCCTTAAGTCACTGCCCAGAAGGCCTTTCGTTTAATACCGGGTTTGAGCTCCGAAATACATGAATTAAGAAGAATGTGGAAAAACAAACAAACAGGCTGCAGTCTAAGTGATTTTTTTTCACAACTGTGGCAGCGAGAAGTGAATAGAAAGAGGATTCGAACTAAGTACTAAGTTATTACAAGCAAAAAAATTCTCAGTTTTCGCTTCAACGGTTAATGAGAGTGGTAGGAAGTACGACATATGCGCCCTCTATTCCATTCTAGCCTGTCTTTTTTCTTTTCTTGAAAACCGAATTAATCAAAGATGACTAGGTGGTGGTTAGTGTCAACAACTAATTCCACGATAATTTTTATAAATTATCTTTTCATACAATTAATTATAAATAATTTTTATAAATTACTTTTCCATACAATTAATTATGAAGATCCAAAACTAACTACAGTACTAATCAAAGGAACCCCTAGTGGCTCAGCGATAAAACTGAGGGTTTATAACGATAAAAATCGTGTTTCGATACTCGAAGTGGGCATAGTACAGATAGCCCCATTACGTAGTTTAGCGCTTAACAACAAATTAACTAAAGACTGACATATAAAAGGTAGAGCCCCCAGTGGCACAGCGGTATGTCTGTGGACTTACAACGCTAGAATCCGGGTTTCGATACCCGTAGTGGGCAGAGCACAGATAGCCCATTGTGTAGCTTTGTACTTAATTGCAAACAAACAATAAAAGGTAGAATTTTGTCTATAAATAAAAAGCATTGTTTCATAATCTGTCATTTTCTAAGGTTTTCCCAATGTTTTATTAAAGACAGACACCGTCTAAGTTTTATCAGAGTTGCATTAACCACAGACACTACTTTTCTATTAACGACATACTATTCTAAAGTTTTATCAATTTATTATCGACGACAAATTATTCTATGACCTTATGTCTTGTATTAGAAAGTTTTATCAACGTTGTATTAACGACACACTACTCTTAAAATTTTATCCGTCTTGTATCTACGACAGACACTATTCTAAACTTTTATTATTGTTGTTCTATAGACAGACACTATTTTAAACTTATATTATCGTTGTACAAATAATAGACACTATTTTAAACTTTTATTATCGTTGTACTAATGATAGACACTATTCTAAACCTTTATTATTGTTGTACTAATGACAGACACTATTCTAAATTTTTATTATTATTGTTGTACTAACGACAGACACTATTCTAAACTTTTATTGTTGTACTAACGACATACACTATTTTAAACTTTTATTATTGTTGTACTAGCGACAGACACTATTCTAAACTTTTATTATTGTTGTACTAATGACAGACACTATTCTAAATTTATTATCGCTGTACTAATGAC